TCGCCACGCCTCGCCACGCCTCGCCACGCCACGCGACGCCTCGCCCCGCCTCGCCACGCCAAGTCACACTTACCAGGCCACGCCACGCCACGCCACTCCGCGCAAAGCCACACTAGCCAGGCCACTCCAAACCTCTTTTGTTTTTGTTTCAGTCAAAACTTCAAACAAAACGTTAAAAAGCATTACTAATTTGACAACCGTAATTTCCTTAGTAAATGAATTGAATGAAATTGTTTCAGTTTCTGAAAGATCATAATATGTGATAGCTTGCTATGTTGCTGTGTTCAGGTTACGAGTAACGAATCAATGCGTAAAGAGATATTTCACTTTAAGGATGTCAGAACAATGTGTAATATTCAGGTGATCATCTACAGATTTTGTGCAGCCACAGTTAAAAGGCTAGTATACAGAAGGAGACAGGTGCAATACGAAGATGGATATGCGTAACAGCATAGTTAGACGTGCATGTACCGTGACCAGCAAATGCATATTTGTTGTCATCTAGTGCAGTTACCTCGGACATTGATGGTGGGAAATCCCATTCCAGACCTATTGCAGCCTACGAGAGATCCACAGTGAATTGAGAGTCTTTGAAAACTGGTGAATGATCACTCCTCAGCGCAATCGAGTTCTTTTATTCGTGAGATTGCGTATGGTTTCAGTGTCATTTGAAGGCAAGACTTCAAGTTGTGCTGATGAAGACGTTCGCAAATAATACGTATTGAAATTACTGACTTACGGTAGCGATATTATAACAATCGCTTCATCACAAACCTTATTGAAATCAAGAACGGGAATCCGAACTACGCCGTAACAAATACTTTTTGATCAAATAGTCATTTGATTCAACTGGCACAATTTGTTCAGTTGTCACTTTAATGGATCCATTTCATGTCATGTTCTGTGTTTTAACGATTCTTACCAAATGAAACTTGACTACTCGTTATTTCGTCTGATTGCTTATTTATTTGTGACACCTTCACAATAAAATTCACGACATAACTGCCGTAGAGACCAGATCTCTGAATTTTTGGAGCACCTTTCCACGAATTCAGTTGTGTTGAGTCGCTTAAATCGAAGATTGACTCTGCAATTGATGGTTTCCGTAGATTCCTTGTGATCGCTAACAGTCCCCCATTCAGAAGAGGCAATATTCTACACGTAACGACTCATACCCATTCTCACCGCCCCACCCCCAAGGCCTTTTTAAGAGATTCACGATTCCGCTACAAGTAACGACAATGAAGAGCAGTATTTACTAGGCTGTCCGGGTGACGCCGCGTCCATGGCGAAGGTGCCGACATTTCGGTCGCCATTCTGCGACCTCCCTCAGGGCGTAATGCAATGCGTTGGCAAAAAACCTGAGGAAGGTCGCAGAATGGCGACCGAAACGTCGGCACCTTCGCCAAGGACGCGGCGTCACCCGGACAGCCTAGTAAATACTGACTCCGGCCGCGGAAGCCTGCGCTCTGACAATGAAGAGCGTTAATGCCGTGCCGATCCGACGCCACGCCCCCGCGTCCAGCGGCCGCGTTGTTCCGACGCGGCGCCATAATCCCCGTGTGACGGACGAGCATCCATTGGCCATATCGACCATTTGCAGACGGATGAAAAACGGGCGGCGCATTGTGGGGAGCGCGAGTGCCATAAAACGTCCGGTTGGCGGCGTCGCGGCGCCGCAGATTTATTCGCGTAAGAACGCGTGCGTTCGCTGGGCTGGTGGGGGGAACGACGGGGGGAGCAAGCCTCTCGACTGTCCTATATCAGGGATGCTCGAGTAGGCGGTTTGTCAGGAGCGGCTATTCTTCAGAGGAAGTAGGTCCCGAAATTATTATTATTATTATTATTATTATTATTATTATTATTATTATTATTATTATTATTATCATTATTATTATTATATTAGATGTATTATTAAATTATGTATATATTTTTAATTTATTTTTCTTGTTACATACTATTTTGGTATTAACAGAAATGTAATTGTGTATTTGAATGGCATGCGCACGGAACGGTCCTTGGGTGTGAAAATTATCGAAGGTGCCAATGAGACCGCCATCAACTACGCTGGTCAATGCCGAAGTGATATTGAGACCCTTTTCAGACCCCTCAACTTCCAAGGTACGGTTCATCTCGGTGGTTGTTATAACGTGATGTCAATTGCAGAGTCTCCATGCCGTCGCAGTCGGGGTTGTGAAGTAGAAGCGGAGAAAATGCTATTCTTCTTCCTATGTGAAATTCATTCGAATACTCCGCTTTTTTATTTGAGCTGTAGTGTTCCGCATATACATTTTGTGTATATATGTATTTTATTAGAAAAAAAACTTTTACATTGGAAAGACGAAATTAAGAAGGAATTGAGGAAGGAAGTTGTTAATAAAAGAATGGCCATTTAATGAAGACCATTTAATCGTAGTCAAGTTCGCAGCGTTGCAGGACCGAAGTATTGATTTGGTGTTCAAGAGAGGGTGAGAAAATTTATGAACATAAACGTGCGTAAATTTATTTTTTCATGGTTCCGGGCTAGAGAAAGGTGATTAGCATGTAGTGTAATTTAAAATCTCGTATTTAAGCAGACGTGTTTTATGTGAAGATTGGGAAATAATAACTATCTTTTATGTATCAAAATGTCTTGAACTCTGCATGAAGGGCAAGCAAAAGATAGAAATTCTGTGTTTGACATCCTTTAAAAATCTAATTTTGAAAGCTGGGGGCTATATTTAAGAATTTATTAATGTTCTAGAGACTCTATGTAAAATATCCGTCCTCCCAAATTAATACATTCGTCTCCACTGTATGTAACCTCGAGATCGTCCAGGTTGATCAGAAAAAATAAATTTAGGCAAAAATAGCTAGCGATGTTCATAAGTAGACTGCTAAAAGACTAAAAAACCGTACATAACTCCGTATATTACATTACATTAGACTATAATTTTATACTATTATTACACTATTTTAGTACAATATTACATAACTTCTTACAAGAAAGTAAACAATAAGTAACTTTAACTCTATTATTCCACATCCTTTCTGTCATTATTTTCGGCTCATTTACGGTCTTAACAATTTATTAACGTGTATGTGCCAACCTGAGAGGCTGAGGTGACTAAGACCGACTAGCTCTTCACTCCGAAGGGTTGCGGGTTCGAGTCCCACCGTGGTCAAGGTTGTTTGTATCTAGTCTCTCATGTACAAGATGTCGCGTAGGGCCTCGGGTTCTGCTGATCCCAGACGGGCGGAGCCCGCAAATGGTTTGGTGTCTGGTATGTGGTCGACTATAGGCGTGAGTAACGTAAAGAATATCCGGCTTTCGGCTGGAAAAAGCTCTAGAAAAAAGAATGAACGAGTATGTAAAACGAAAGTATACTCTGCCATTTTCAGAGGAAAAAACGGCCAGCTCTTGGGGACTGTGCTAAAGCAATACAACGCTGTGCAAGCGCCGTGCTGTCGCGTCAGATGTATTCGCGCAAGAGCGCGCTGCTTCGCGGCTTGGGGCCAAGAAGGGGGGAGAGGCCCTCCACTATCTCCTTTCTTCTCGTGTTTCACGCACTAGTGGCTTTGGCAATATCCGCTCGGGAGAAGGAAAACCGAGTAGCATTTCTGCCTTGATACTTCGATCTTCAGTGGCTACTGTTTGTTGCATTTGTATACGGACGGCCCCACGGTTGATCAAATGGGGTCTCTATCTTAGTGGATCCTAGACGTCCGCCAATCAATAACATCGAATCTGGTCAATACCATTTTATTGAGAGTCTATTTCTTACACTGATTTTGTACTCGCTGCAATGTCTCAGAGGTAATATCGTTACCTTTGCACCATCTCTGCAGTATTGACAGGAAGATCATAGTCTTTGAATGCCGACGGTGGTTGATTTTTGACATTATCTAGTACTTAACTGTGTCGAATTCAACTGCTCTGTGGAGGATTCCAACAAGCATTTCTCTGGTCGGTAGTTTTCCGGTGTTTTTTTAATTAATTCCAGACGAATGTCAGATAATTGCTTCGAAAAAGGATTCACAGACCGCGTGCAATATTTCGTTTCTCTTCGATATTCCCTCCTCTCATTTTCAACTTACACTTAGAAACACTTAGACTTCCGCACATGTCAGAAGACCAGTCGGAGACTTACAGTGTTTCCAAGTTAGGTTGGTATAGTGTTGGCGGTGATACCTAGAGAGGTAACGCCAGCAAACTGACGTACAGATTGGCTTCCCAGTTCAGGTTTCATTAAGGGAGATATACTGTCACATCCTGTGGAATATCATGCACTGAACTAACAGGAGTGTCTGATGGCCGGAAACATTGAATAATCAACAAACAAAATTAAATGCTTACTTCTCGCCTTTCTCTCGAGATTTGTCTTTTTTCCTTCCATTTCATATAACTATTACTCCAACAACATTCATTTTAACATTATTCTCTTTATTTCTTCAATTAAAGATTTTTATATGGGAGACTCACAACAGGTATTCGTAAATGTGCTTTGTTCTCTAAAAGTACCACATACATGTTGATATTTCCACAAATTGTAAACATTTTGAGAGCTTCAACAGTTTTGCAATTTAGACATGTTTGTGTATTTCTTTACTGTATAAAGAATATATTGTATGTTAAAACTTTTTTATTTCTTAAAATATCTAACGCTCTCAAGAAAACATAACTTGTTCGAAAATAACAATATTGTTGGAATTTCAAGTATCACAAACTCTCTACGAGATCTGAAAAACATCTCAATCCGTACCACGTTCTTATATGAAAATTATCGTTTCTGAGGTAAGAAAATCATTAACTTGCCATTGTTCGAAACATTTGCTGCTTAAAGTAAATTACACGTTTAAATTTATATCAACGTCGTGTAATGTTAGCATTAATAAACGTTATGCGAAATATTCGTGACGAATTAAATAAAAAACCTTCAAAAAAATTCTTTAAACATTCTTCAAACAAATTAAAAATCAAATACGAATCATGACATCCATTGAAACAATCTAACATATTCTGGTGTGATAGTGAGTAGAGCAATAGGAATTTGATGGTCTAATCGTCGACGGACTTTGATGATTCATTTCTAGACAGTAGCACTACTGCGCGAAGTACACCGCACCACTTTCGGATTTGAGTCTCCATAAAACGGCGACGCCGAGAGGCCCGAGGGAGGCAGCCGGCCGCGGGCGAAGGAGTGGGGGAGCGGCGTCGGGGGCCGAAATGAAGAGGCCTCCAGCGCGCGCGCTCAAAGGCAGCGAGGGTTGGGGCGTGCCGAGTGGGCGGGTCGCGACCCCTCTCGCCTCCGCGACGCGACGCGACGCGCCACGGCGCGCTTTCGGCTGCAGGTAACGATCGTCGCGCGTAATGAATTCTTCGGCGCATGAGGGCTGCTCGCGTGGGTGGAGAGCCCCGCATAGGAGGCTTGCCCGAAGTGCGCTCGCTCCCTCCGTCCTCGTTCCGCTGTCCTCGTCTTGTCGTCCTCGCTCCAGTTTCCTCTTTGCAGGGCTCGTTCGCACATTCCGACCGACCGGCTTTGGTAGAGGGACCTCGCCCGTCCGCCCTCGCCCGTCCGCCCTCGCCCGACCGCCCTCGCCCGTCCGCCCTCGCCCGTCCGCCCTCGCCCGTCCGCCCTCGCCTGTCCACCCTCGCCCGTCCACCCTCGCCCGTCCACCCTCGCCCGTCACCTCGCCGTTCCAACCCTCGCGTCCAGGCCTCCAGCCGTCCACCTCCACCCGTCCACTCCACGTCCCCTCACGTCACCCTCACCCGTCACCGCTCACGCCGTCCACCCTCACACGTCACCTGCACCCTCTGCCTTGTCGTTCGTCTTCGTTTGTCCTCCTCTTCGTCGTCCTGTCCGTTGCCCGTCCCAACTCGTCCGGTCCCACTCACCGGTCCACTCGCCGGTTCCATCGCCCGGTCATCACGCCGGTCCCATCGCAGGTCCCACTCGACACGTCCACCGCACGTCCCCACTGACACGTCACTCGCAGTCCATCGGCTGTCTCCACTCGCACGTACCACTCGCACGTTCCTCGCTCGTCCCACATCGCTCGTCCCATCTCCCGCTTTTCGGTTCCACACTCGCTCGTCCCCACTCGCACGTCTCCACTCGCACGTCCCCACGCGTTTGTCCCCACTCGCACGTCCCCACTCGCAGGTTCGCCTACGCGTTAGAATCTCCCCACCGTTAGACTCTCATCGAAGCTCTCACGGCCTTTGGTGTGCGAATTCCGCCGCCCATTGCAATATACCTTCTCCCTTTTCGCAGCGTCCTCGATTTTCTGGCCGCACTCCGCAATTCTCACACAGTCCAGTTGTCACATCGGCTATATTGGTTCTTGCTCCTGAAACCGCCTCCTGTGTGTTGTAAGCTCCTACCCATAATGGCAACCCTCAATAGACATTCGGACATTGCTCTGTGCCAAGGGTGTGCCTTTGTTCTATTTTGCTGTGACCATATTAACTCATTGCCAATCAGTTTCCAGCTTAGATCCAGTCACATCAAGTACTTTGTAACTTCCTTTGTGGGGAATTGCGCTGCAATATTCACTTCTTTGTTGATAGTTCTGCTTCAGTTACCATTTTGTTTCGCTTCTATCCCTTCTTTTAATTATCTCTTCCACTGCAGATAACGATTTTGTTGGTCTCAGAGGCTTTGGATCCTGTAATAACGCCTTGAAACCTGTGTACGCAGAACTTTTGTATAAATACGTTAAGAATTGTATGCGAATGGTTTTAATTCATTTTATACCATTCACTCGCTCTAAGGCTGTGATGCTTCAGATGTTTTATATAGGCTGTTTGTTCTCTTTCCAACATTTAATCCTAAGTTTTCTTAATAAAATTAAAAACCAATACAATATGGGGATACCAGAATTGCATTGAGATATGTTTTTCAGATTGTAAAATACAAACTGCAATCATCCCGAACTTTCCATTTAACGAGAGGTAGAATTTCTGGGTACATACCACTCCATAGAACGGTTGAACATAAAAGTGTACAATCCCGAAAACTATGTTCAGATAAAATGACTATCTGATATTCTGTACAATTTAATTGTACGTGTGTACATCTTTCTTTTTGTTAATAAACACTGATAATTGATTTTTTTTCGTAGACACTAGCAGTGACATATGGATACCGCAACGGAAGCGCTGGTCGTGGCTGTTTGAAGGTAGGATCTATTTTCACTTAAAAAAAAGGATTGATAACGAGTTTTACGGTTGTATAACTAGAGAGCTATGCCTTTTATTACCCACCTGAATTCATAAACACATAGCAAATCATTCAGATTATATAATTAATATGTTATCAGATTTCATGCGAGTGACATGTCATGCGAGTGACATTGTCGCGCGAGTGACATTGTCGCGCGAGTGACATTGTCGCGCGAGTGACATTGTCGCGCGAGTGACATTGTCATACTGTAATTCTTGTATACATACTTTCTCAAATGTGTTCATCCGACTTTCAAATTATATTCGAAAGCCCACCCCTCCTAGTTCAATAATTCCCTTTACCTTTCGCCTACCCGATACATTACAGAATGAAAAAATTAATCCTCGGTATCCACAAATTGTTGTTATCTCTATTCGCTTCCCTGCCCTTTTTCTCTCTCCCTTTATTATCTTTTTTTCGCCGTTTAATTCCTCCCCATTCGTGAAGGCAGAGTTTCTCGTCCGCGCGTCCCCTGGGCGACGACGGCAGCGCAAGGGGTGGCACAGCTTGCAATTAACTTTCCAAACGAGGCTTCTTGCCCACGCTCGGCGTCTGCCGCACTCTCCACACGTTGGGCAAGTGCATTGGTCTATGGGCGAAACGTTTCCCATGCAACTAGTCAAGGGGCAAGTCTGTTGAATTCTTCTCTGGCGGTAATAGTAAAATACGCTTGAACTACAATATTTAAAAGGTAATATAAGGAATTTTATTACACTTTCATCAATTAAATACATACGAATTTAAAGTTTCAAATGTATATTCAGGTAATAATGAAACAATGTTTCCATTTTATAATGAAATAATAATGTGAATTGTGATTTCATTATTATCCCAATTTTTATTCAGTTTTGTGGGAATAGAGTAAATATCATATGCAGATTTTATGAAGTGACTAATTTAACCTTTTGAAATGTATAGTTGGTGACGGTAAACTACATTCACTATAAAAAAATTGCTAATTTTGACTACGCGGTATGTAACTATAGAATATGTAACTATGGAACTATGTAACTAAGTTTCATACATCACATACATTAATGAATGAGCATTAGTAGAAATTGGATTAAATTAAAACTAATGCTTCTACAACAGCAAGTACTTTCTTGCCTTTTGTGTAACTTTACAATTTTCACAAATACTGATATTTCGGCGAAAATAGGACGTGCTGTTTTTTTATAAGCGAATATTGCTCTATTCGAGCATAAAATTAAAGAAAATTGAGGAACTGTTTCGATTTTTTAATTGCCGTGTATTTCAGAAAATTAAGGCAATCTATTCTTATAGTTATAGTAACTATTTAATAAGCAATATTTTTTACTCTAGCCCCCTTGAATTCTCCTAGAGTTAATGTATTTGAATCTTACTTCTCTAAATTTTGGTCCCGACAGTTTCAATCCGTCACTGTAGTAAATACGCAGGGCTGGGTAAAGCCGCGTATGTGGTCCAAAGCATATCCAAACAATAGAACTTAATTAAAATGAAATATTGATATTAATCAAAATTATCATGAAAACAAACTATAAACTTTGCCAATTTAATATTTATTAATTTTGTCACAAGTATAATAATTATATATTTTATAAGTAGTTAAAAGTTACCATTATATTCTAGTTATTTGATTATTAACAAGCGTGGTTCCGCGAATCCATATTTACTAATGAACACACTATGGTACTATAGCGACAAGTAAGGTAGTTATTTTCTTATTCGGTCGACAAAATGTTGTTTAAAAACAAATCCAACCAGAGTTCTCTGAAAGCGCTTTGTGTGCGAGCGCATTCATTCATCTTTGCGCGTCCGCCTTCTTTTGTTCCGCGCAGCGCCCACTGCGCGTCGCCTGCGCACCGCGCGCAGCTGGCCTCTGTCGCGACTAATTACCTTTTAATACAATTACACTGCGCAGATGCAACCTCGCGCAAGAAGAAGAGCTGGCGGCACTCTGCGCGCCTGGCCTTAAATAAGTTAAAACGACGTTAAATACAAAGGCTCGTCCTACTTGTTATGCTCGTGCTCAAGAATTCATCTTTCTGAAAGTTATATCTGCTGCGACCTCGGTCGTGATTATCCCTTTTTGCCGCTTCCAAACGGATCGCCGAGTCGCTGGTTTTAATAAGGCACTGACTGGATGCGCGCAATCGAAGTCTTTCTTTTTTGCTCTCCAGGTGCAGCTCCGATAATCTGAGTGCTTTAAAGTTGTTCTGAAGAACTTTTCAGTACTCAACTGTTCACTTAGATTGTAGGTCGATTCTAAGCTTTGAGAGTATCTACGTGGTGTTTTCGTTTTGGAGAGAAATCATTATCGTTAGATATGTCTAACCTTGTTCTTAATTTTGTTTAATCAGCTCTATTAGAGAAAATCAATTACGGTTTTTGTATTATTGCAATACAATTCTAAATTACATGCAAAATATCATCGGAAACAGTAATGTAAGCAAGAACATGTCTTTACACTCGAACATATTGATCATTGTAATAAATAAGACCCCTTCTCTTCATATATATTTAACAATTTTTAAAATGACTTACCTTGGGAAATGTACTATATTAGAACCAATTCTCTACCTTCCATTCTCACGAGACATAACAACAAAACACTGCACTATTTTAGAAATGTTTGCAAATGATACACTTATTCTCACTTCGTAAGAAAATCCAACATCTGCTTCAACATTACTCTAGAAACATTTCAAGAATATTTACAATGAGATGAAATGTTGGCACATAAAAATGAACAAAATCGAATTAACTCACGGGACACCTACAAATATACTTACATTCCAAAAAATTTAACAACCAAACAATTCCCCAAGCAAGCACGGTGAGGTTCGTAGTAATTCAATTGAAAGGAAAGAACTGGACATTTAAAAAAATGCTTGTTTATTATTGACAAACACTTTTCACTTCGACTGAAACACAACTTCTAGCATTCACACACCATTCAGATTTAATGACATCACTCAAATCATTGTCTTGCATCTGTTTTAGAGAGATCTAAGCAACACTCAGCACAAGCACTATTCAGGCAATATCATATTTTTAATTTTTTCATAAAAAGCATAAAACCGCACGATGTGTCGCTTCTCAATGATCACAACTAGATTGTGCATTGTTTCATCATCCTCGTTCTAAACGTTTCATACACATATGTTTTGTATACCTCACTTGTGACCTTTACCCTTCCCTCTACACTAAGGATAATAAATGAAGGCGGCTCACATTCATTAACGAAGAGGTCCTCCCTCTACTCCCCCCCCCATCTGCTCTTTTCCGTGCACCATTAGCAATCGTCCAACCTCCGTCTAGCTCTCTTCGTGTAACCATATGGAAACATGAATTGATTGATTGATTACTAGTGATTCTGGGCGCGTCAACTGCTTATTAACGTAAGTGTAGTGGAAGTGTTTTGCTTGTGGCAATTATATTCCCTTGTTGGTTACCAAGATCCGGTACCGATCTTCTGTCGGCTAATGGGGTTTTGCTCATCCAAGTATCTCCCACCATCTGGGCACCGCTCCAGCCGGGACAAGCTCTATGCTCCCGACTGATCTCTCGGCATGTGTGTTACTGTAGTGCATGCAAGTGTAAGTGTGTGTAAGGGGTAGGATTGGACAAGGCATGGGAAGGAAAGATCGCGCGCGATCTGTGGCCCGTCCATTAGGGTACTTGTCTCGGCATTCGCCTGGTGTTGATGGGAGATACCACGGAAAACTGCCGATCAGAGCAGCCGCTCGCTAGAATTCCACCACGACAGAACTCGACCTAGCTCTCTGGAGAGTGGCGAAAATTCTGCCACCGTCGGGACTCGAACCTAGGACAGAAGACCTCTCGGTCAGAAGCACTGCATTGAATCACCTCTCCCGGTGTGGCCATGGAGAGAGGGGATTGCAAACATGGGAAACGATTCACTAAAGTACATTGCCTGCACAAAACTTCTCGCGTGGAAAAACCTTAAAGATCAATTTCGCATGTGGGCGGATATTTAGCAGCGGTCCACGGGCGATGCCGTTGCCGCCTCTAGCGACATCGGCAAGGGCAGGCGAGTGGGAGCACACGGGCGGTCACCCAGTCCCAGCACTAGCCCCCTCCCCCCCCCCGCTCAGTGATTGATGGCGGCATGATGAAGACCGTTGACTGATCGTTCCTCGATACGTGCGCCCACGCTGACCTTTTATGTTTGTTCCTACGACGCTCCCCCCTCCACACACACACACACACAATCACACGCGAGCGCGCGGGCGCGACAGCCGGTCAATAAAATAAACATTGGGCGCGATGTGAATGGATGGGGTCCATCAAATAAAGCTGCGAATTGCGTCTTCTTTGTTGTGTTTTTTAATAGAAATTAATTTTTTCCCTTTGAAGATTCTAATCAAAAGTATACTATCTTTCTTTGAATTTCGCATGCTTTTTGTTTCCAAATGAATACAATATTGCATTTCTTGGTACAGCATTTAATTGACACATTCAATGGATTTGTATGTATCATCCCAAAAGGAGATGTGATACTTAATCATATGTTTTATTTTTCTGTACGAATAAATTTCTAAAATTATGTTTTGTGGAGCGATGATTGTTAGCAAGAAAAATAATTGCAATACAATTTGTTCTCTAAATCTCTCAGATGACTTAGTTAAATATGTTAATAATCCAAGTATTTAGAGAACACTCAATTCCACTGAACGCGCTTTTATAGTTCTAATTAATACACATTTCTAACCCTTAAATGTTTTAATAATCAGAAATATTTTAAAAGTACAGATAATCGTGAAATTGTGTAATTTAGTTTTCTCTGATCCGAGATTATTCACTGTTAAGATATCTGTAGCCGTTGGTATATTTTGGGCATTAAATATATTACTGCTACTTTACTATTCAGAAATTTACTCCTGATCGTAAATTTATTTCCAGTTTAAACAATTGCAGTCAATTGCATTCCCCTAATATACATCTCATTAT